AATAAAGCTGTTATAAAACCAATTGTTTTAACAATAACAAAACTAGCTACACAGCCACATCTAATTCCATAGGAGAGCTAAGTACGAGATAACCTCATGGAGATGATCGCCTTGGAAACCCAAAGGGGACAGTTCTTCTCTGTCTTTTGGTTATGTCTTTCAGACTCCATTCAACCAGAAATGCTTTATAGAGTATATTAAGAATACTAGCAATATTTTTCAAGGACACATGTAGTTTTACAACTTTTAAAGATCTGTCCCAGTGCTTCCCAAAGGAGCAGGGCCTTCTCCTGTGGGGAGCTGAAGCAATCCACGGAGGAGGCAAATGCAGAAATCCAACTTTATCTTGGATTATGGGCTATACGGTGCAAAAGGTTTTCATTGCCAGGGGGGTGCTGGGTAATTTTTAAATTTTTATCTGTAAAGAAAACAGTAGGCCAATTAAGTATCATGCATCTTTCATTCAACCCACCTACCAAAGACAGCAAGAACATAGGAAAACTAGCTGTTTTTAAATCCTTAATTCCTCTTGTAGTCAATGTTAGAACCGTTAAAATTCTATACTGTATTCATTTTTTCACATGTATATTTAATACATAAGAGAACCTCCCCAAAGTTGATCTTTTTATGACTTGGGATTTTGTTCCTCATTTAACACTGTTTACTTTTAAATTATTTAATTGTCCTTCTAAAATCCAAATTTACGATGTTTCTTCTTGCAGACACTCTTTATTTCTCACAAGGTTCAGTAGTACCAGATCATGACTACATCGGGTTGCCTGAAATTCCAGTTGGAGCATGCCAAACAAATATTCTGGGAGAAGATGCAACTATTACTGTAGTGGATAATGAACTACTGACATCGACCAAGGAGTATGAACTACTAGAATATAGAAATGCCAAAATCTCTCCATTGATAGAAGATCGTGGTACTCTTGGCAAGCAAACTTTCTATCTGTTGGACTCTTCAAACCAAGTTCTTGTGTACTTTAGTTAGTAAACATCAAAATTAATTTTAAATACCTGTTTATAATGTATAAACCCTTGATATATAATTTATCAAAAAAAGTTGTATAGAATAAGTGACTTGACACATTCTTGATAACTAAATCCGGATGTTTCTATTACAACTATCCAAAATTCTGACCAGGTTTGAATGGTACCGCACATATACAAAGGCAGAGGAAGCACCTCGTGTATAGAATCCACTTCTAAAATGAGAGGAAGGCAAAACACGCTTACATCTGAGGAAGTAAATTAAATTGCTGCTCAAAACTCCAAAATTGTCTGGTATCTGTACTACCTTTTCAGCTTTAATTTTTCTGGAATACCCACTCCTCCTTTAAAAATAAATTTTAAATCCCTGCAGGGATTAATAAATATCAAATCAAGCATAGCAATGGGTTAAATTAAACTTGCCCCATTATTGGAGCTTATAAAAATAATATTGTAGGAAAAACTCA